AAAAAAAAAAAAAAAAAAAAAAAAAAAAAAAAAAAAAAAAAAAAAAAAAAAAGAAAAGGAAAAATAAAACCAATCTCCAGAGACCTGTATCAACTTCTGTATGTTCAGCCATACCCTTAAAAGTTCACTATTCACTCACAAAGAGAAGTAGACAAACATGAATATTCCAAGCGAACACACACAGACCAGTCCAGTATTTAGTAATAGTTTAACTTTTGGAGTCTCTTCCAGCATTTGTAAACAAACAGTCTCTTCCTCGACCTCCCGAACAGCTCTCTTGGTCATGGTTTTACTTTTAAAGCCACAGAACCAATCTATGAATTTCAAGTGTCTCTCCGTGTCCTCAGTCTCCTCCTCGTGCTTCTTCTCCCCCATCAGAGCCGCCTGGCCGTTGGAGTAACAATCCACCGGCGTCTCGACCTCGGAGTGGCTCACCGAGATCACCGGGTTGCTGTCGTCTCTGCAGGTCACCAGCAGGTTGATGTCCTCTGGCTTGAGGTTCTTCAGGTTCTCCTCGGACTTGCCGTTGGGGATGATGTGGTTGGCGTTCTCGTTGCACTTGAGGATGCTCTTCTCCTGCGCCTTGTACAGCTCCCCCTTGGCCGCCGTCTCCTGCACGCTCCGGTTCTTCACGGCCCAGAAGGTGGTGGTCCGGACCTGCTCCTTGGTGGGCGGAGGGGTGAGGAGGCTGACCACGAAGGTCACGATGCCGGTGATCCAGAACAGGGCCGTGGCCACGTACATGTAGTGGATGTTTTTGATGAAGGCCGGCCTCGTGTCGGGCTGGTTGCACTCCGGAGCGCGGTAAATAAAGGCCAGTATCAAGCGGATGGCGCCGAGCACGAAGCCGGCCATGCCGCCGTAGAAAGCCCCCTGCTCGTTGCAGCGCTTCCAGAAGATCCCCATGAGGAACAGAGCGGCCACCGGCGGGGTCAGGTAGTCTGCGACCTCCTGGATGTACAGGTACATCTGCCCGCCCTGCATCTCCACGATGATGGGCACCCAGGCGATGCTGATCACCACCATGAACGCCACGAAGACCCTGCCGACGATCATGAGCTCCCGGGACGTGGCGCTCTTCCGGATGAGCTTGTAGACGTCGAGCGTGAAGATGGTGCTGGCGCTGTTGAAGATGGAGTCCAGGTCGCTCATGAGCGCGGCGATCATCACGGCCATCATGAGGCCCCGCAGCCCCACCGGCACCAGCTTCATCACCAGGCGCGGGTAGGCGATGTTGGAGCAGCCGGCCCTGCTCCCGCACACCTGGAAGCAGTGCTCGGGGTTGATGCAGGCGATGTCGTCCGCGAACAGGATGCGGGAAATCATCCCCGGGACGACGATGATGAACATGGGCAGCAGCTTCAGGAACCCCGCCATCAGGGTGGAGCCTTTGGCGTGGGCAATGTTCTTGGCGGCCAACACCCTCTGCACGATGACCTGGTCGGCGCACCAGTACCAGACGGAGGCCGGGGTCTGTCCCAGCAGGAACCCGGGCCAGGGAATGTCTTCGTCCGTCGGCTCGCGCAGCATCTTGAGGGCGTCGGGCTTCGGGTCGACGTTGCAGGAGTTGGTGTTGGAAATGTTGTAGGTCAGCAGGATGGACGTGACGTTCGGTGCCGCCAGCATGTACCTCCTCTTCACTTCTTCGAACCCGCCGACCTCCGTGATGCTTATGATCATGAGCGTGAGGGCACCGATGATCATAAGCAGGGCCTGAAGGGTGTCTGTGTAGATGACGGCCACCAGCCCTCCGGTCACGGTCAGGAGCGCGGTCATTCCGATGAGCAGGATAACCGACAGGTAGAGGTTCCAACCTAGCGACTCTTGGATAAAAAGCGCCCCCGAATACAAGTCAACCGAGAGCTTGGTGAAGATATAAAGAATTAGAGACAACGCTGCAAAATAGATTTGAATCCTATGCCCTCCGAAACGCTTGGACAAGTATTCGGGCATGGTGTACACTCCCGACCGGATGTAGACGGGGACGAAGACCCATCCCAAAAGCTGCAAAAGCATTAAGGCGTTGAACTCCCACGCGCCCACGGCAAATCCGCTCGCCGCTCCAGATCCTGCGAGCCCAATGAAATGTTCACTTCCAATATTGCTCACAAACAAAGAGGCACCGATCGCTACCCAGGTCATAGAACGCCCTGCCAAAAAGTAGCCACTGACGGTGCTCCGATTGTACTTCCACATGGCAAAGAACCCTATGCACATGACCAGCACGAAGTACAGGGCCACAATGGCAATGTCTGCTGTCTCCAGAGCAGCCCTCATGTTTGTAACCGGCTGGCGTCCACTTCTCGCCCCCCAGCCAACGTCTCTTAAGCAACACGTGAACCAGTTAACCAAATATCAACACTGCGGCTCAAATTCTTTGTCCCTTGGTTTGCTGTCCTGATGCTGGTGGCAGTGGTACATTTACTTTCTCCGCTTCTCAACTGGGAATTTGGAACTTAGCACGCACTTTTAATCCACATTCCACAAGAGCATCAGCCTTAACTCAGTTGATGTAGGAGAAATTCTTAGTTGCAGCTAAGTTTAGTGAGGCCTACTGTACCAACCCTGCAAGGCAGCAAAGACAAAAGACAAAGATTGAATTAGAGAGGAATTTCACGAAGTAATGAGAAAAAATTTGAAGTGTAGTAAAACAATGACCGAACAGCACAGATTTTTTTTCTTTTTTTTTCCCCCTTTTATACTTCCTGCCGTTATTTACGCAGTTCCGTAACGGGCACCGTTCGATATCTGCAGAACCAAACAGCAAAGCCCTTCACAGGGCAAGGTCAGGGGTTACAGGTACCTTCGGAGACGCAGCGATTCGGGAGGAGTGAAGGGCCCAGATTCCCCAGAGCGAGGCAAGGAACACAAATACATTTTATTTCGTTTTACTTCAGTGTCTCACGGGTCTAGTTCTGGAGCCACTGAACGGGTCTTCCTCTTTCAAGCAATCTTAGGAAAATAAAATGAAAACAAACCCAACCAATAACAGCCCCTACGGAGCTCAGACCTGGCCACTCATTCCCTGTATGGCTCTAGCACTGCATCCCACAAATCCTGACAAGATCCTGGCAACACATGGATGCACTGGCTGCTAGAGCTAAAAAAAAAAAAAAAATTATAGAAAAATCAAAGTGAAGTCAGAACACTGTCAAAAAACAACAGAAATTTAAAATCAGCTGGAGAATCGAGGTTATTCCACAGGTTTGAGGTGAGTTTTGGGGTACAGATAATCACAGGGTTACACTTGACTGGGAAACTTCTTCCTACGTGTCCCATGGGATCCAAAGGAAGGAAAAGTCCTGTTCAAGCAAGTGACGGAAGCAAAGCTCTGCCTGACATCCCACTTGAGGTAGTTCTGTTGGGATTGTGCCTTTGGATTTTCTGGGAGCACCCCAGGCACGGGAGGGAACACACTGGATGGATTTTGGTAGCAGTTGGATGTCCCCAGCATCCATCTGCATCCAACCACGGAGAGGTTCACCACCGTCACAGGGAGGAGGTGTGGAGGCAAGGCATCGCCTGCTCCTCTCTTCCTGGGACCCAAATCCCACCTGACATCATCCCAAAGAATGTCAGGGAACAACATCCATTGAGGCAAGCGGGACTGAAGAGCTGGAAGTGGAGGGGACAATAAAGACGTGC